CCCCCCCCCCAGTTGCTTGGAACCAGTATGCAGAATGGCAGAACACATGTGCATAACCAATCTGTAAACATATATACTTTACCAAATTAGTCTGGAGCCAATTAACCTACCTACCTACAACTGGAGTACCAGAGAAAATTCAGACAAGCACACCTGCAATGCAACCAAAGTCTTGCAAAGCAGACGTACTAACCATTCAACTGACAAGGCTTTTTAATCATTTATGTTTTTAACTATGTATACATGTTCAAGTGCATTTCCATTGACTGACTGAAAAATCCACATGCAAAGATGTGCAATAGGCCATTTTAAAGCAGAAGTTAAGGGGGTAAAAAAAAACAAATACTGTGGGCAATGCTTGCCATACTTTGCTAATATGCAGTCACAATCCATATATTAGATCTGGGCTTATTTTTTAATTTCATATTTTGAGATGGGTAACAAACCACTGAAAATCCCTTAGGGCTTGTTCACACCAAATGCAGACCAGATCTGCATGAGTTTCTGCACATGTAGATTTTTTAGCCTAAAATGGGCTTTCAGGGCGTTTGCACGCGTTCCAGAGCAGGAAAAATAGGGCGTGGGACATTCCAGTACAATGCGTTCTGATGCCGGCAATTGCACTGCGGCTGTCTGCGCTGCCATTGACATGAATGGTACCACCACGTCTCAAAACGCGGCCTGGCTTTATCCATGCCTTCCGTGCTCGAACCGCGCCGGAAAGCACTAGATGTGATGTGACGGCCCTTAAAGAAAGGCCACAGCATAATGCACAAATACAAATGTATGTAACCCAAGTGCCAACTCAAATTATATTTCCTAATTCATGGAAACGGGACAAAGTTCTATTCCGTACCTTCCCCATTTTGTGCTGCCGTGTGTCCTCGATGGGGAGATCCATCTGCACAATTTTCACTGATTATGGCAACCAGGGTAGAAGGTGAAGGCTAGTTTCAAAAGTTATGGTTGTCACTGAAGTAGAAGTTTAGGGGACTTTCCCTCATTTTAGGGAGTCCCTCCAGAGTCCCCACTGCACTGCCTATCGGCTTGTCTTTTGTAAGCATGTTCCGATGGCATCGTCAGGTTAGGAGAGGTTGTACGAGCAGGATGTTTTCTAAGAAGCTGCTTTAGAGGAGAGGTGGATTGGAAAACAACCATGGATTACAGTAAGGCACACATTACAGCATTGGTTTATGTTAAAATACCTGAGGGTTTAATGTCACTTTAATCCTGACTTTATATTAGGTGATGCAAATATATTTCCCTTCTCTTTGCTGCTCTTCCTTTTAAATCCTCATGTCTTCTCATGCCGGGCAGAACTTCCCTTTTCAGCTCAGGGCCTCTTCCTGTAGTGCTGGCTCAGACACCGTGTATCCATTCCTGAGACAAGGCAGTCTGCTGCAAAACAGAAGTTCTGCAGAGCATGAGAACAGATACAGATTTAAAAGGAAGAGCAGCAAAGAGAAGGGAAACAACCATGGATTACAGTAAGGCGCACATTACAGTATTGTTATGTTAACAAATCTGAGGGTTTAATGTCCCTTTTTTTTAAGCTTCGATGTCAGGATTTTTGTTTTTTTTTCCCCTCAACTATAGAACAAGCAAGAGAAGTCGTGCAACACCTTCTAACAGCAAATTGGCAGACTCTTCAGTCCTGGGATACACTCCAATGATTACACCCAGAATTGATACAAGGTAACTACAATCTGTTGTACTACGTGACTCACTGCATACAGCAGGCTCAATTCCCTAGGACAGTGTTGGCGAACCTATGGCACGCGAGCCCAGGTTCAGGCCACAAAACATTAAGGCAGCCGACGGGGCGAAATCAGCGAGCGAGCAGGAGGAGAAGGGGGACGGAGCGTCAGGGGGTGGAGACAGAGGAAGATGGGGGCGGAGATTTGAGGACGGGAGGAGCCGGGGGACTGAGCGGCATGAGACGGCCGGAAACAGAGTGAGATCGAGGCGGAGATGAGAGGACGTGAGAAGACTGGGACGGAGCGGCATGAGACGGGGTGGAGACAGGGGGAGATGGAAGAGGCCTGTGAAGACCGAGGAGGCAAAGGCAGAGACCGCAATGGAGGAGGCGTCGCCAAGGGGCCAGTCGAGCGGCGAAGCTGAGAAGATTGGGCGCTGAGGCAGCAGTGAAGGCTGGGCTTCCCACAGGATCTGTGGGAGGCTGTGCCAGATCTCAGGGGGGCTGTGCAGGATCTGTGGGGGACTTTGGAACCTGCAAAGCCCTCCTGAGATCTGGCAGACTGCAGGGTCTCTGCAGTATCTGTGGGGGGCTTTGCCAGATCTCAGGAGGGCTGTGCAGGATCTGTAGGGGGCTTTGCCAGATCTCAGGGGGGCTTTGCAGCCTGCAAACCCAACAGATCCTTCAAAGCCCACCACAGATCCTGCACAGTGCCCCTGAGATCCGGCAGACTACAGGGTCTCTGCAGGATATGTGGGGAGCTTTGCAGGATCCGTAGGGGGCTCTGCCTCCTGCAAAGCCCACCACAGATCCTGCACAGGCCCAAGACCCTGCAAAGCCCCTCACAGATCCTGCAGTGTCTCAGGGGGGCTGTGCAGGATCTGTAGGGGGCTTTGCCAGATCTCAGGGGGGCTTTGCAGGATCTGTGTGGGCTCTGCAGCCCCATGGTGGGCAGAGCCCATTACAAATCCTGCACAGCCCCCCTGAGACACTGCAGGATCTGTGAGGGGCTTTGCAGGGTCTTGGGCCTGTGCAGGATCTGTGGTGGGCTCTGCCCACCATAGACCCCGCAGAGCTCACCACAAATCCTGCTAAGCCCCCCTGAGACCACAGCTTTCCTGCTATGCTAATAGCGGAACATGTCAAAAGCTGGATACAGTGTTTGCACTGTATCCAGCGACTGACAGGTCACGCCAAAAGTATTAAACAGGAAGGGGTGGGGTAAATTTAGTGGGGGCGCCCGTGTTTTGCCTTGCCTAGGGCAGCCCCAAACCAGAATACACCACGGCGTTCAGGGACCACCAATTGAAATAGATCCGACTGACCCGGATCGCCTTGGTATGCGATCCGGGCCAGTCACAATTAGGCAGCGGCAGCCAATAAACAGGTAGGTTAGACGGCTGCTTCTTCCTCGCTAGGCCCCCGCAAGCGGCCGTCTAATCTGCCTGTTTAGGGGTCTCCGCCACTGCCTGATTGTGACCGGCCCGACTACAGAGGCGATCCGGGACGTGCAGGTCCCCCGTGAGAGCCGTACAAGGCCGTTAGGCAGTGATGTTGCACGTTTCTTAAACCCGAGCGCCCAAACTGCAATACCAAACTTATTTTCAGCGCTGGCACTTTGAGATAAATTGATTTTGCGTTGCAGTTTGGGCACTCAGGTTCAAAAAGGTTCGCCATCACTGCCCTAGGATATAAAGATTATGTACCATATAATTTTTTACTAATGTGACTTATTTCATCAATGACAGCCAATATGAATTAAAAATAACAGCCATTATGGCTGTTAACAAGGATATCATATACCTAGTATGATCATTGTAGGTATTAAGCCATATAGTTAAAATAATGCATTATTTATTGCAATAGTCGGCCTTTTAATAAGTATTTACTTATATACAGTGATTGGGAGATTGCATAACATCTCAATAAATCAACTTAAGACTACACATTGTGCTGAATGCTCCGCCTGATTTTTATTTATTTTTTTGATTATTTTTTTTTAGGGCATTTAAAACGCCTGCATTAAGAACCCCATCCATAAAGGAGCCTGTCTATACTTTTTCAGCCAATGGGAGCCCACTGGGTGGTATGGATGAATTATTCATTAATCTACCTTCAGGAGATGGAAAGGTAAGCTTGTCTGTAGTTAAAAGGTTTTATCTTCTCTGGTGAATTGCCACAGAGTGTACACTGTGTTTGTGGATTTTGTTCTGTATTATGTTCAGTAATAGTGACATCCGTCAGTTTGCACCTAATAATTTTATTTTTTTTGATTGCAAAGAATATTCGCCTAACAGCTGAGGACATGGAGATGGTAAACCTAAGTCGCTTGGACAAGAAAGCATTTGAGAACATCAAACTTTTATCGGTAAGCTTTAATTAAATTTTTTTTGCTTGTCATGTCCTAAACCAGTAACAGAGAAATGTGTATGCAAGTTTCCTAAACGGCAAGGTCATTTTTAGCTTTTGTATGAAAATAGAACCCCACTAAAGGAATGTTTTAAAATCATTTTAGCTACTATTTATTACAATTAGTATTCACCTCCAATCTAATATTTTTTGAGAATTATGCAGGGCACATTTTTTTTTCTTTTTTTGTTGTCCTGGTTTGTGTACTCAAGCCAAATACAGTACCAGAACTCTCATCTAACCATAAAAAAAACCCCTAGTTTTGCTGATCTGTAGCATGTATTATCCTGCAAACGATCGTGTGTCTATTTGTCTTAATTTGCTTTTGATTACTGCATTTCAATATTTAATATGAAGTCAATACAGAGTTTGTTATGATATGATATGGTATAGTATGGGGTGTGGCATTAGTTAGACCTATTTTTAATAGTTTCTGGTTGCTTGAGGGTTACTATGTTTATCTGGAATCTGCCAATCCCCGTGGATAATGGGGAGTTTACTGTAAATTGGGCTTTTTTATTTTTACACACTATCGCACATAATTCCTCTCTCCCTTCTCACTCACTGTTAACGGTCACCTGCTTGTCTTGATGAAGGGGGCCCATTAAAATCTTTTTGGATTGTCCTTTTTGACTCTTATGATATAAACTCTCCATTGTCTCTTAACTTATGGTCTGCAGTCTGGCTATTGCTCCCAGCTGCTTGCATTCACATGTCGGCTGCAGAAGCTAGACGGCGGGTGAATGGGGCACTAGGACGCGGGGGGCGGTTGCTTGAGAGTTACTATTCACTCTCAAGCAACCAAAAACTACAGTTACCTACTTATCTACACCTACTTATCCTTACCGAGTTTACCGTATGCTCACATATAAGGTATGGACTTTTTTCTTGAACGCAGAAAGTCTACATTCAGTAAGTAAGTCGGCACACTTTACGCCAGTACTGGCATGCAGCCGCACACAGCCATTATGTCTGGATGCTTGTATGCAGTATCTGGCCTTTCTGGCTGTTGGTGATAAATTCAGTGTATAAAATGTATCTTCATGAACCAGCACGCAACTTTGGGAAGCTAGAATGTAACATGTACAGTATAAAAATATCTTGCATAGCCTAAAAATTCAAATCTGTTCTATACTGTAGTTGAAACGGTTTTAGGTGTCCAGATTTTCATCCTATAAGGAGGGACTTTTGTTAGTAAACTGTATTGTGCTGATAATTGTAAGTATGGCTTAAAATGTGCTGTTTAGTCAATTTATTTATTTTTTCTTTTCAGAGTCGCTTGGAAAAACTCTGCAAAACACTAAAGTGATCCTTAAAGTAGTCTTTCTAGATTTTTTTTATTTTGGTTTTTAATTTTGGTACATTGTGTGTACCCTTGTAAGTAGCTGTATTTGCATTGTATTTTATTTCTGTAAAGCTAATTTTCATTTTGTTATGGGGCTGAAAAGTATCTTTTTGTCTGAATTTCAACTGTTGTTTTTCAACTTTGCACAATTTTACTAATAAAGCCCAGTTTCTTCTGGGTGAAACTTAACTGAATGCCAAACTATACTGTGTATTTTTACATTTGAATTATAATAAAAGGTGCAAGTTATATTTGCTCGTTTTGATGTCTTTATTTTAAAACCTGGATCACATGGACAATAGACACAATCAGAATAAGAGAAAACAGTGACTCTGTTGCAATTTAAAGCAAACTGGACCATTGACCGTTTTTTCTTTAAAGGGTATCTATTTCTAGATTGAATTTCCATAAGTTCTATACCACTCCTAACAACCATATCAATCTAGAAGTTTGTAAACTTTTTGCAGATGCCCATAGGATATTCTTGCTCAGTGCACTGACACAATTTTATGCAGCCTGCCTTCTGAACTACAACTCAATGACTGAACAATGTAAGCAGTCTTGAAAATCTAGATTGCAGCACATCAAGCTATAGGGAGAGAGAGACAAAGCACCCTGGGAATATAGGAATTTTATGAAAGTGATGGGCAGACAGAATTCTGCACTCACTGCATAAAAAGGGATTTTTCAAGTAAGCTTTGATATGAAAAACAACCATATTATGGATTCCTATTACAATACTGTTTTTCTAACAGGATAGTATATGCTGGGGCTTTACAACTCCATTAATTCTTCCACCCCCATAAATTGTGTATTTGCTTTACCCCCACCTCTCTATTCAGCCCTGGAAGGTAAGGGAAATACCCACTACTTGTAGGTATGGCAGATAAATATTGGCGAATAGTGGCTTTTATTTCACATGCTGGACAATGGTCTGCATTTTACATCCAAAATGGCCTAACCTGCCTTTATAATTGCCCCACATTTGACGAACTTTTATAGTCTTGTCATGAGGAACCTTGATTGACTGCAATTTGCATCATACTATGCATGCGTCCCTTTTTAAGCATATAGTGGAAGGATTCCTGCACTAAAAGCAACATTTAGGCTGCCATTATGGACAGAACTCTAAAAATGCTTGTTTTCTTGCTGTGGAACGTAAAACAAACAGCCAGTAACTAAAGGCAGAACTTTGACTGAAATTGAAGCCATTAAGTCACCATGATAAAGCAGTTAGTGTTCTACATGGGAACAGGTCAGAGATAACACAGTTAGGTCTGGAAATAATTGGACATTGACGGGATTTTCATATTTCTGGCTCTGTACGCCACCACAATGGATGTGAAATGAAACGGATGCAATTGAGGTGCAGGCTTTCAGCTTTAATTCAAGGGGCTGAACAAAAATATATGAAACGTTTAGCATTTGCAATCATTTTCATACACAGTCCCCTCATTTCAGGGGCTCAAATGTAATTGGACAAATGAACACAATCATAATAAAAATGTTTATTTTTAATACTTTGTCAAGAATCCTTTGCAGGCAATGAGCCTGAAAAGTATGGACATCGCCAAACTCCAGGTTTCCTCCTTTTTGTGATGATTTCACAGACCTTTTACTGCAGCTTTGTTTGTGGGTCTTTCTGCCTTAAAAGAGAACTATGGGCTAAGTGTTTTTCCCCATAGTTCTCTTTAAGGTCACGGGAGGACATGTACTAACTTCCCGTGACCCAAAGCTCACTATATAGCGAGCTATTGCAAGCAATATATTGAGAGCGCCGCAGCCGGGACGGATCCCGACAATACTGTCTGGATCCACCCAGCTGTGCCTGTCCCCTCCCCTGTTCATTCCTCCACTCATGCTGAAGGAGGGGGAGAATCCCTGCGTGGAGCAGTGACTGAAAGTCATCGCTCACTGCAGGGAGATGATCGGAAAGTGAGCAGATAGGCTGCATGTTTCTGCTCACTTCCTGATCTATAGGTTCAACCTGTGACAGCTTCTTTGTCACAGGTCGGCTCTAACTATGAGGATGAGCGGAAATCACTCACCGCATTGTTCTCTAAGTTTTGCCTTGAGCAAGTGAAATGCATGCTCAATCAGGTTGAGATAGGTTGGAAAAAAAAGCAAGTACATTGAGTTCAACCTATGGAGATATGAAAGAAAAAAAAGATCAAGTGATTGACTCTTTTGCTGGTTGCTTTTGCAGTATGTTTTGGGTCATTGTCCATCTGTAGAGTGAAGAGCAATCCAATCCACTTTGCTGAATCTGAGCAGACAATATTACTATACACTTCAGAATTCATCCGACTGTATCAGTCTTCTGTCACATCAATAAACACTAGTGAGCCAGTGCTGTTGGAAGCCTTTTTAGATATGGTTGGCCAAGTCTAATCTGGCCTTTCTATTCTTGAGGCTTATGAATGGTCTGCAACTTGTGGTGAACCCTCTGTATTTGCTCTCGTGAAGTCATCTCTGTATGGTAGACTTGGATAATGATATGCCTACCTCCTGGAGAGGTTTCACCTGGTTGGATGTGAAGGGGTTTTTCTTTACCATGGATAGGATCCTATGATCATCCACCAATGTTGTTTTCTTGGGACGTCCAGGCCTCCTTGTGCAGTGCAGGTTTTTTTTTTTCTTTTCTCAGAATGTACCAAACTGTTGATTTGGCCATTCCTAATGTTCCTATATTCTCTTTTTTTGCAGCTTAAGGATGGCCTGTTTCACTTGAATTGAAAGCTCCTTTTGAACGCATATTGTGGGTTCACAGCAACAGCTTCCAAATGGGAATTCCACACCTGGAATCAACTCTAGACATTTTACCTGCTTAGTTGATGATGAAATAACAAAGGGATAGCCCACACATGTCCATGAAACAGCTTTTGAGTCAATTGCCCAATTACTTTTGGTTCCTTGAAAAAGAGGAGGCTACATGTTAAAGAGCTGTAATTCCTAAACCCTTACTCCAATATGGATGTGTATACCCTCAACTTAAAGCTTGAGAGCCTGCACTTTAAGCTCCGATTCTTAATTTAATTGTAACTTGAATTTATTTTGGTAAACAGCCAAAACAAAAACTTGTCAGTGTCCACACATTTTCAGACCTAACTACCTTTCAAAGTACAACTGTCAGAGGCAACACTACACTGCCCAGCTGCAGGGAGATGTAGGTGTAGAGAAGGGGTTTTGAAGGTTACTTGAGGGGGGGGGGGGTTGGTGATATTAAGTGTGGATAATTGATTAAAGCTCAGACTGCTATCTGTCACTAATGATTTTCACTATAACTGTTGAATAATTTACTAGGAGAACTGATATGTGCTCTTGGGCTCAGGTTGCCACAACTGATATGTTTTTTTGTATTTAGATTTTCCTAGTAAATAAACCAGACTAATATCTTTTTTATTTTTACCTTATTAAGAAATATTGATTGTGACAGTTCTGACTATTTTTATAAAGCTACTCCAGGCAATTTCACCCCTTGTGCAGCAAAGAAAGAAAAACCTATTTTTTTTTTAAATTTCGTCACATGGATATTTTGTGCCTATTGGCTAATTTGTCACTTAAAACCAGGCTTAATCGATTTTGCTTCTAATAATGTTAGCTGTAGAAATATTCTTTATAGTGGTCTTTTGGGGTTTTTTTGCCCACTTTGTCTATTTTGTGTTGTAATGTCTGACATAACCTCTGCTTGTAAAGACTAATGTTTAGATGTTTGTGGGCCTGTTCTGTACTTTGTCCAGAAGGTGGAGCTGTTACCAAATGGACAGAATCCTGTTTCTTGAATGCCATGTTTGCATCTAAATTTAAGAAGAAAATAGTTATTGTTGACCTAGCATGTAGTAATAACCAAAGGTGCCATTTTTGGATAGAGCAGTCACAGCAGTTATCCTGGCAGAAGTATACTCATTGTAATGAAATGGACCTTCATAAGTAAAAGCCTCAATAGTTGTTTGGTGTGCTGTAGCCCACATTTATGCAGGAAAAGCATACACATTGCACTGCTGGTTAAGATGTATAGCTTTCTCAATACTCATAACTAAAAATAAAATAAATACTTTTACCTGTGTTAAAGCACATCCTAATTTCTATACTGGTGCTGGAAACTGAAATGACTGCTCCCGTTATGTACCATAACTCGCATTGATTTAAGCCATTAAAAGTAAGCTTGTTTGTCTCTGTCCAAGAGAAAAGCGTGGGCTGAATTGCTAGTTGAGATTGGTGATGTCTGCCCTTCTAGAGCTAGTTGTTTATATAGGGGCTTGGGATGCCAAAGGGCTCCTGCACACATCTGTATGAAAACAAAAGCAATTGGTAGCAGCAAGAACCTGTGTAAAAAGTGCTCTGTGTGCATGTAATGTCTGTGCAACGTTTACATGTGTATTGTACAAAGGTTGCAAGGACGCTAGACAGCTGAGCCGTCTGCAACCTTGCATGAAAGAAAACTAGGGGGCATGGAGCCACCGGCATCCTAGCAACAAACGACTTGGCAGCTCGAGTCACCTACATCCTAGCAACAGTGCAAGCGACTCCAATAAAGTGCATTAGCAATGTACGTTAATGTTGGCCCAAAAGTTTACATGCATACTGCATAAAATATGTTCCATATGCAGGACCTCCGATGCAGGTTTTTCTATTTTAGATTTTACAGATCTGAACGCAATGCAAGTTTACCGGTCCTTATGCACTGTGTATATGGCCCCTTCCTTTAGATCCAAGACACCTTCCTTTAGATCCATTTAAAAAAAACACACAACTGATACAAATACAGCATTTTTACAGCCATGTGTAGGAGCCCTTAGAGAAATGGTTAGAATGTGGTGTAAAAAAAAAGCACACCTTTGCTCCAAAAAGGCCATGTAATTGTGCTGTTTCATGTTTTCCATAGTATGTAAATTGTACAATTCAGGAACTTCAGAACTTAAACACCAACAGCATTTTTAAAGGGAAATGTGTTCCATTGGCAGTACAAATGAATATTCCAGCTGTGATTTTGTAGTTGCAATAACTGTATGTTTGCGCCAGTTCTCTGTCAACATGCAATGTGTGCTGTATATTAACAAGAACATACAAACCACATACTTTTCCACTGATTTTAATGAGTTAAGTGTTGTTTAAAGTTCTTAAGGCCTAATAGAATTTCTGATTGCTTAACCAGTGCTGGGTACTAGCACATGATATACAACCATGAG